CTAAGAGCTAAATAGCAACATTCTATAGAACCTTCAATATATATTGACCTTACAAGCCACATGTCTTAACTTGCAAAGTAAGTTTTCTATGTGTATGCTATATAGATAGCTTGTTTCATAATCTACCTACATATGTAACACATGACTAATTTGTTGACCAAATTTTTGATCTAAAATCAATTATAAATATATTTAAAGTCAAAGCCATGTCTATGAAACTTTTAAAAAGATTTTATAGAAGATATTATGAAATTAACCTATTTTATATACTTTTATTTATTTATATCTAATCATATAGGTAATTACTAGAATTAATATGTATGTCTGTGATAGTATATTTATGATAGTCAATGTGGGTATTGAATTGTTGTCAATCTTGTTGGAGTATGTTATTATTAAGATTTGATTTTAAGATCACATATTGACTTAGAAAACAACTAGGTTTGTCAGATATACTCTCTAGACATTTTAATCTTGCATCAAAAAAAAAAAAGATATAGTTATTGATAAATAAAAAATAATTATCTTGAAACTTAAGCAATTTCATCTTCAAGTAATAAAATCAACATTGATTGTTGATTCAATCTTTGTTAAGAAAATTTAATCAAATATGTCTTTTAATCTTCTTATTTATAATATCAAGAATATTTCCTCTAAGTCTTCTGATACTTCTAAGTTTGAATTTAAAAACAACCTACTCTATTTTGAAAGTCTCCTATATGTTCTAAAAGAGAAAGCACATTTATGTGTTTTTCAAGTACGTCATGGTTTTCTGACAATAAGACATTTTGGATATAACAAGACTTTAATGCTTATTTTTAGAAATTTTTAGTGACTAAAAATATAAAAAGATGTGAAAGAATTTGTACAATCATATGATATTTGTTGAAGATCAGAAACTCCTCATCATTGATCTTGTAGACTTTTCTAACCATTGTCTATATCAAAACAATCATAGTTTTTTATTTCTATGGATTTTATTATGAATCTTTTAAGTTCAAGTTTATATGACTCTACATTCATGATAGTAAATTGCTTCACTAAAATAACACATTTTGTACTATGTACAAAATTTATTTTAGATGAAGAAACAATTAAGTTTTTCTTTGATAACATCTATTCCTATCATAGATTACCAAAAAGATATTATATCAAATAGAAGGATATAATTTATATCAAGATTTTAAAAAATCTTTTTTAAGATATTGAAGGTGGATGTAAAATTATCTTTGGCCTTTTAACTTTAAATTGATAGACAAACAAAACAAGTGAATCAAATTTTTTAGCAGTATTTAAGATGTACCATCAATTATCTTGAAGATGATTCAACAACTATTTTGCCATTGATAGAGTTTGCATACAATAATTTAGTATATTCTTCTATTCAACAAACATCTTTCTTTGCCAATTATGGTTATCATTTACCACTTGATATTTTTGACTTTTCAAAAGTTGATAATGCTATAGCAAAAGATTTAGCAAATCATTTATTAGAACTATATATAATAATAAAGGTATAATTAAAGAAAGCTTAAGAATGATAAAATATCAATGTGAATACCTATCATAAGAAACAACCATAATTCAATATTAGTGATAAAGTATGGTTACTTTGTTGCAATATCAAGACTAATCTTCTTTGTAATAAGTTGAACTATTATAGATTTGGACCATTTTTTATTTTTAAATAAGTCAATTTTATTGCTTATCGATTACATCTAGTAAAGTCTATGAAGATCCATCTTATATTCCATATGTTTCTTTTTAAGCCATATAAGATGATAAATATCTTGGAAAAAAGACAAATGCTACCTCCTCCTATAAAAGTGAATAATAATCAAAAGTTTGAGATAGAAGAAGTCTTAGATTCAAAGCAACTCCAAAATAGATTGGAATATCTTATTCATTGGTATGGATATGATATTAGTACATGCATATACCAACTAATAAAGAAGGTTGATGCTTTTCATTGATGACATCTATTAAAATTAAGATAAAAAATAGAAAATATTTGATATAAAAGAAATAAGATTCAAGGAGGATAGCATTCTATATTCTACCTTTATTTATATTTTTTATATATTTGTGGCATTAAAAAGATGAAGAATCAATAATTAGTAAATTTAATTTAAGAGTTATTATTTACTAATTTATTAAATAAGATATTACAATTGTCACAATCTTCAAGTTGAAAAAATTTTAATAATGATTTTCAAGAACAACATGTCCTTCCTCAAATAGATGGCAAGATATAATGTGTTTGATATCATGACATTCAATGAAACTCTCAATATTTGGTAATTTTATTAGAGGTAGAAATGATTCTTGATAATATTTAAAATATTTTATTTTAAGGGAGTTATGAAGGCCTGAACAAAAATCAAATAATAGGGTGGTCTTTTTACCTATGTATGAGACATTATCAATAGTTGAGAGGACTTATCAACCATCTTCAAAGAAAATGAAGATTAAAATATATGGCAAATATAATTCATAGCATCTTGGATTTCTTCAATATATGATGATTTTTTATTGGAACTTATTCTTAGAAGAGGGATAATATCATAAACATATTTATTTTAATAATTATATATATAATTAGATAGAAGTAGGTAAAAATAAATTAATTTCATCATATCTTTTAAAAAAGCTTCTTAGAAGCTATATAGATGCTACTTTGATTTTATACATATTTGTAATTAATTAATAAGTTAGAAACTTGGTCAACAAATTAGCCATGTATCATATATATTGGTAGCTTGTAAAACAAGCTAACTATGTAGCTTACATATAAAAAACTTGCCTTGCAAGTTAAGATATGTCTCTAGTAAAATCAACATGTATTGAAGGTCCTATAGAACATTACTATGTAGCTCCTAGTTAGAGAGTATATATGAAGACAAGTATAAAGCCTTCTTCATTCTTGTCAATGCCTTTCTTATTTTTAATCTAGTTTGAAGAATCTATATTCTTCTTATCTTTGGCAATAGCTATTTTAGTGTTAAAACTATATTACTTTTGGAGTGAATATTTATTCTTCTTGAGTTATATAAGAGTGTTTTAAAGTTCTCCTTGTTTTGATTCATTTCTGTGATATCATTACTTATGATACAACAAGTTTCTTAATTTTGAAAAAAAAAAAAAAGATACAAGAAATAAAGATTCTAATTACATGGCCTCTCATATTGGTTTAATTGGATGTATATTTGAGTAGTTCCATAAGAGAGTATTGTCTAAAAAATAATGTGTTTTAATAAATAGTGCATAGTCATATTCCAAAAAACATGTTACTAAGTGGTCACACAAAAGTATGCTTATTCTTCTTTGAGAAATAATATGATATTATATAGCATTAAGGTATTGTGATGTTTGTGCTTAATATTTCAGTAATTGAAATATAATAGAACAATTGTTCCAAATATGATATACATATCATTTGATCAAATATAAAAATTGGCTGATATACTCTATTTCTTGGATTGTAGAAGTATAATGGATCTTTTGCTATGTGGTGAAGAGACATTAAAGACCTAATATAGATGATACTATAAAGAGCTACAAAATAAGTGAATGATTATATTTTGATAAAATGGTTTATTTTTGTTGCCTAATTAATAAAACATTGGAATTTCAATGATTTTTTTAATATTTTAGGTGTCTATAGATCTTTCAGCAACTCGAGTAGGTAATATTGGCAAGAAGGCAAAAAAATTGGAGCTTACATTATGATTGGTCCCTTCAAAAAGTAATTCTTAGATTAAACTTGCTTAGTTGAAAAAAAGAGTGGATCTTTAATTCTAATGCAAATTAAAATTGTATTTGGATCATGAAATCAATACTTTTTCTCCTTAAAATTATTGTTATAAATATTTGTTAATTGTTGCAAGAGAGAGTTAGTGGCACTTCATAGTAATAAGAGATTCTTTTTATAATCAAGATCCTCCATATTAAGTTGTTGAAGCTCATATATTAATTATTCATCAAGACCTTGTAAGCATCCAAAAGACTTTCAAATTCATTGACTTGGGATTTTTCTAATAGCTATCAAATACAACTCATTGTCTTAATAATAAAAAAAATTATCTCAACTGATGCATTCTAAGTTCATGTGTTTGCAAATTTTTATATTATGTTCGACATCTCCACCAAAAAATTGAATTGATGTAATTGTTGTCACAACCAATTTAGTCGAGGTTTAGGATTTAGGGTTTAGGAGGCAAGTTGTTAATAAAATAAGAGATGAGTTCTACTAGAGATAGTTATGAGTTTCCAAATATGACTCAACTTAGCGACGACATAAGACGACAATAGAATTAATTCCATTCAATACAATATAAGCATAATAAAAACATAGAATAATCATATATTCAAATATCTCTTAAGGTCGTCATACCAAATGGCTTTAATATTAAAATATGGAGATGGATAACATTCCTACTAGCCCTACAATTTAGGCTCTTCTACAATCCTATTAACATAGGATTTGGCTAAGCCTACTTCTTATCTTTACAGAAAAAGGGAGGGGGAAATATACATAGAGAGAGAGGCATAGGATTTGGCTAAGCCTACTTCTTATCTTTACAGGAAAAGGGAGGGGGAAATATACATAGAGAGAGAGGCAAAAGAAGGAAGGCAAAGGAAAGAAAGAAAGGAAGGCAAAGGAAAGAAAGAAAGGAAGGCAAAGGAAAGAAAGAAAGGAAGGCAAAGGAAAGAAAGAAAGGAAGGCAAAGGAAAGAAAGAAAGGAAGGCAAAGGAAAGAAAGAAAGGAAGGCAAAGGAAAGGAAGAAATGCAAAGGAAGGTCACGGAAGGGGGAGGTGGGGTCGCGCGTCCTGCTTCATGGCCAGGGCGGCTTCACCGAAACGGATGGCGAGAGGGTGGTGGAAATGCGGGCGATGGACGAGGGGGGCTCGATGCAATGTGATGCAGGGCTTGTGCGGGGGAGATGGAAGGAAGGAAGGAAGGCAAAGCAACGAAAGGAACGAAAGGCGTTGCTTGAGGGTAAGTACCCTGGTGACTAGGCTCTCAGTCTCAGTGGCCATGGTGAATCCCTGCCACCCTCTGGCTCTCGAAATCCCTCTAGCGATTGCCCTTCTTCACCACCACCACCACCGTTCTTTGTAGCCTTGTTGTGGTCACATGAATGTCTTCTCGATAGAGGTGCACGTCATTCGACAGCTTGCTGCTCGAGTGCTGTGGTAGTCAAGATTTTTTGGGGGGGATTGTTGGAGTTTGTGGAACTATCCCCTCGTGAGGAATTTCGGTGGGTTTCGCTGTGGCGGTGGAGTTGATCGGTGATGTTGGTTCTTTTGTTTCCGTGAGAAAGTTGGGTTTGTAGATTGGGTTGTTACCTGGTTTAGCGCTGGGTGGTGGTTGAGGTGCATGAAGTTGTCTGTGTTAGTGTTCATTGTTGACGTGCGGGGATCGGAGACAGGAGTGTTTGAATTCAGGTTTGTGGGGTCCTCTGTGGGTTAAATTCTGAATTGGGAGAAGATGAAGGGAGGAGGGCGAGCGTTAGGGTTTCCTGCTCTCATCCGGTTCACCCAGGAGCAAGCGCGACGGGCAGTGCCCATTTTAGGTCAACAGGTTCGAAGTTCTTCCACGACCAATCCCCCCACGGAGTCATCCTCAACTCCAGCAACCCCTACCCTCACCGCATTGCGAGAGCGTCTCGCCAAAGGGGGTCCTAGCCTAGGTGATTTTATCACTCATTCGAGCACAACTCCGGAGGGATACTCTGTGGAAGTGGGCACCAAGAAGAATCCCAAGCCAAAGCCTGAATGGATGAAGATGGTTGTTCCTGGCGGAGACAAGTATGCTTCAATTAAGTCCAAGTTGAGGGAATTGAAACTGAATACGGTTTGCGAGGAGGCCAGGTGCCCCAACATTGGAGAATGCTGGACAGGGGGTGAAACCGGCACTGCAACCGCTACCATCATGATACTCGGGGATACCTGCACACGAGGTTGCAGGTATGTATTGCAGCGGATTTCGCCCCGAATTTACTGTCCTGCGATTCCACATATGCTCTTGATGGGACTTTGTTGAATATCCTCCATCACTGTTCTGCGGATTGTAGTAGTAAATCCCTTTCGGATTTCTAGAATATGAAGCCTTGGATTTGCGGTGTTTTATTGGTCCGCAGGTTCTGTGCGGTGAAAACTTCGCGAGCCCCTCCACCGGCGGACCCTGAAGAGCCTCTGCGAGTTGCCGAAGCTATAGTTGCATGGGGATTGGATTACGTGGTGCTGACTAGTGTTGACAGAGATGACATGCCTGATCAGGGCAGCGCACACTTCGCTGAGACTGTGAAAAATCTGAAAGAGCGCAAACCAACAATGCTTGTTGAAGCGCTTGGTAAGCGTTTTTTATTTTCCCTTTCTCTTTTTCTTTCTTTTCTTTACTTTCTTCTTCTTCTTCTTCTTCTTCTTCTTCTTCTTCTTCTTCTTATTTATTTATTTATTTATTTTTAAACCCATTAAATTGCATGTCACAACTCCTTGCATCTTGTCTATTGTTTTATTCTATTTAGAATCCACTAGTTTTTGCCTTGGTTTGCTTCAACAGAAATAGTGAGTGTCTTGCGGATGTTCAAATCATTACCTGAAACATGTGCGTGCTTCACAGTTCCGGATTTCCGTGGTGATCCGGCGTGTGTGGAAAGAGTTGCAACATCGGGGCTTGATGTGTTCGCTCACAATATTGAAACTGTTGAAGAGCTTCAAAGCTCTGTACGGGATCGAAGAGCTAATTTCAAGCAATCCTTGGACGTGTTGCGCATGGCCAAGAAGTTCGCACCCCCGGGCACTCTTACTAAAACATCAATTATGCTCGGCTGTGGAGAGACTCCTGCACAGGTATTTTCGTCCACATGGATTATCCTATTTGACTTTTCTCGGTAAGCAAGGTAGATTGCTATTTTATCTCGTAGTGATGTTTGGAGCCACTGTGTCATGGATCACTCATGTGTGTGACTATAACGTTAGTGAATGTTCCCGAGTTCTTCGTAATAACGAATTGATTTTGTCATTCCAGGTGGTAAAAGCAATGAAGAGTGTGCGGGCGGCAGGTGTGGATGTGATGACACTAGGCCAATACATGAGGCCAACAAAACGGCACATGCCTGTTTCCGAGTTTGTCACTCCTGAGGCATTTGAAGAGTACCGGAAGTTGGGAGTTGAATTGGTAAGATTTTGAGAATTCTTCAAGCTCTAATTTCGTTTGCATGGAGTTGTCTACCTATGGGCAGAATCCAATATTTTATTACTTTTTCGCTGGGTTAAGAAATTTTGGACTAAGTCACACATTTTGAAACCACTCATCAAGCTGACGGTGTTGCATTTTCAGGGCTTCCGATACGTGGCATCTGGCCCAATGGTACGCTCGTCCTACAAAGCCGGGGAGTATTTCATTAAGTCCATGATCGATGAAGATCGTGAAAGGCAAAGAATCGCTGCCATAGAGTAGATACACCATCCTTGGTGTTACATCCAATTAAGGGGAGTTGGTCTTCGAACGAAACAATCTGGATGGAGGGTTAATGTGCGCACAAGTGTTTTTCTGTGTGAAGAAATTTTCTCCCCATATTACATCTAGATTCAAGATTCTTTCGTAATACGTCAGATTTTCATTTAATGCCGAATGGCAGCTTTGTGAGAGGACCTTCACATACGTGGGGCTGTAAGGTTACTTTTTCAGCAGGGTCTCAATTAGTATACGTCTGTATCAACTAGCTCATTGAATGATTGTTTAGGAGAAAGAAAGGGCGAAACAGGAGTTCAGATCTTCTGTCGGGAATGTGCCATCATCTTTGTTTATCATCTAAACATTACTTTTATGGCTTGTATTTAAATTATGTTTGGTAACAGTCGTTGCGCAATGCCTTCAAAAACCGCTCAGATGGCATTGCAAGAAAGGTTCTGGTACAAGGTGTGACACAGATTGGTTTTCTCGAGATGAGATAATGAACGGCGGGTGCTGGTGACAAGCTAGTGATTGAATGGTTCGTGAGCTTCTCAATCGTATGCTAATTCATGGCTAATATTGATGACAGACAGATATGTTATGAAGCTATGAGACCAAATTGCAACAGAGCCTGCTAAGATATGTTCACACTCGTCTTTTCACTAGACATTCTAGTTTTCTGTGTCTATATTCGGCTAAATGAGACATTATTTGTGAGCTATGTTAAGAAACCACGGGGAAGATTAATGCTACACGCCCTTGGTTAGAAGGTGCTAATGAAGAACCCTTCGAAGAGTTTTGATATCTCAATCTTAGAAACGCTGATTTAACCAACCGGGAGGCTTGTAATTAATTAGAAATTGCACTGTAAACATGAGTTTTGAAGGGAAATGAACTACAGAAGCATATTTGTAGCGTAGATTAACATAAAAAAACATGAAAATCAAAAAATGAATGAACCAGATTCTACAGAATATAGATTGTTAGCAGTTCAGCAACTTTACGCGAACGTGGGCTGTGGGCTGTAGGCTGGAGCTCACTAACAGAATAGAATGAAGTTGGATGATAGGATTGCACAGGTTTTAAGTGTTTTAGCAGTTGCAGCTCATTCTATCTATGTTTTCCCCATCACTTAACTAAAACTCATTGATAAGACATGTTTTAGCCATGTCTGGAACATTTCCTGAGTCTCATTGATGCACAAATGTGTAACAATGTATGTTAGTCCAAGCTGTAATAAATTTGACAGTAAGCAAATGTAACGGAATATTTTTCTGCTAGTGTCTTAATGAGGTATTACAATTTTTGAGCATTTTGTAGTCATTAATGAAGGTATATATATATATATATATATATATATACACACATTCATATGTGAGTGTGAGAGAGAAATTCAGCAGAAAAATAAATAAAGAATGAATGAAAACACAATGCAATACAATAAAATGAGGTGCAACACTTGAACTTTTTTTCATACAAACACCACCTTTCAATTTGATAAAACATTTCTGGGTTCAATACAATCTAGTGTTGGCTATGTTTTTATTTTTTTTTATCTCATCTTCTTCTAAAGTGTGAAAGATTCTTTCATTACAATCTTTTGACCACGATTGACTTTAGTACCGACATCCACTAGTATTGTCAAAGCACCAGTACACTAAATGGAATATTTAGGAAAAAAATTCCAAAAAGCATTTAATGTATGATGGTTGATGAGTCCTACTTTTTACAGTTTAATAGCTTTATATGTATTATATCAAGTGTCATTAAGTACAAATACAGCTTCTACATTCACTTTCATTGCTATAAAAGAGTTGCTCCAAGAATGTACTTTTTTCACGATGACTTCTTAATGACTATTCTTTATAATAAAAATAAATAAAAATCAAAACTTGGAAATTTGTTGATTGTTATGTTAACAATACTTATTAAGAGATGTTTCTGTAATTTCGATGCTACTATTTTTGAAAACTATAAAATTTAAAACTTTTCAAAAAGATGTTAAAGTACGTAAACAATATATAGTAATACAACTTAGTGGATTAGAAAGCTTATATTACGTAAATATACACACACTTAATGACATTGACTGGCAACTTTTTGAGGTTAAATGTGATTACTGTACTAATTTATAAATTATACAGTACTAACAACAATAACAATCATATTGCGTATACTAATATGGATACTCAGACTATATGTATTTATTAGTAGTATACGTACGGGTTTCAAAACTAGTGGACATAACTCACACTAAGCAAAATAAAACCACTAAGTATAAATTTATTTTATTTTATTTTATTTTATGATGATAGTAGTAAGATTAATAATGATAACAACAACAACAACTAGTGTGAAAGTTTTTTTTTTTTTTTTTTTTTTTTTTTAACATACTCATTTGATTGGAATGGCCACATGAAAAGTATTTTGTGGTTGTTGATTCATACGATTTTTAAAATATTACCTTTCATACAATTTTAAAACATTGATGATTTGCACCATCAACTCTCATATCCTACAAAAACGACTATTCATTTTAAAATAAATGTTCAGTGAACTGGGTAGTTGTCTCTACAAATCTGTCAATTCATAGTGCCTTATCTCAGAACTCAAAATTGTTGAAGGATATTTTGAAAAAAACCTCATCATTCTGTTAAGCAACTACCATTTCCATAATTCAAGTGACATTACAAGGGGAAGAATAAATTTTAATTAGAAACAAAATAAACATAAGCTTACTTAAGTTCAGTGTTACCCAATGTACTCAAATGCACCTCATAACATAAAATGTCATATGTTGAATTCTTCTGTTATTAGTACTTGCATGAACAGAATGTAGATAAAAATGAGGAGGAAGTATTTTGTAACAACTGTATTTGCAACTTAAGCTTAAATAAATATCTTGCAAATTATTATTGTGTTTATGATAACTTTAAATCAGATTTCTTTAGAATTAACTCATCAAAAATACCTATTATAGATTCTGCAAAGGACACTCATCCTTGTTTAAATTAGTGTTTGATTTGAGCAAGAATGGGAGAAATGGGGTACACCCACTTTATGAAAGTATAGAATACAAAAGTAAAATGGTATGGCATGATGGACAACATTATTTGTCCCATGCAAAAGTGGACAATCAAATATATTGGTTCCCATCCAAAAAGGATTTAGTTCTCCATTCAATCCCCTTGAGTTTCCCATCTAAAACCATTAGTTCTCAATCCAAAGTGTACTCCCTAAAATATATGATTTAGGGCTTCTCCAACATGTTTTACCTCTTCACAAGGGAATGCTCAAGAGTGTCCATGCCAATCTCATAGCCACCACCTTTCATGTCTTTCCTTCTCACTCTTATCTTTTGTTCTTTTTTTCATTGTTTGTATTATTCCAATTTCAAAGGGACCTAAGTCTAACCTCGTTCTAGCATGAGGTTAGACTTAGGTCTCATTGTAGCACCTGGTAGTAGATTTTGAAAACAACCTCTTCTCCCTTCATTATTTTTTTGAATACATTTATTGGGGTTTCTTTCTATAGTTAATCGATTTTTTTCTTTTTGCTGATTTTTATATGAAATTATTTTCAAAATTTCTACTTGTATTTTTACAAAAATTGTATTCACGTTGAAAGAAGTTTGATAAAGAATCTTGAATCTTCATATTTATAACTACCACACACACACACACACATATATATATATATATATATATGTGTGTGTGTGTATGTGTGTATGTATACGTATGTATATTATACGTATAAATATACATGTAGATTTACACACATCCATACATATAAATATCTAATTGTCATGCAATCTGGCATCCTCTTTCATTCATTGTCTCCCAATGTCCTCCCTACACCTCTGCTACATTAAATTAAAGTGCAATTCCCCTACTTAAGTCTGTGTGTATGTATTATATGTATATGTATATATGTGTGTATATATGCGTACATATATACATATATATGCATATATACATGTATATAAGTATATGTGTATATGTGTGGGTACTTGTTTTTCCAATTGAATAATTCAGAATGAATGCTGCACAAAAAGAGGGAGAGGAGGAAATGCTTCTATGGAGCACCCACTTTAGTGAACCCCAGGTCCCCCCAACCTCATTCATCCATCCCTCTCACTCTAGGCAAGGATGCGAATGGATGGTCCTGCTAATGGATGAATGAATTGTTCAATGAAGCACAGTACTTCTCTCACCCATCGCACAATAGGAGAACTGCAGTCAGGCATTGGGTGTTGTGCTTTCTCACTTCAGTCCCACATCCATCCATCTTATCATACTTATCATTCATCCATACATGCACAGGCTGTTCGAACATAAATATATTGAAGTATGAGAATAAAATCAATAATTTGAAGCGCTTTTGGTTGGCACTTTGGTGCACGAGTACTAGCACCTAATAGAACACAAACAAACAAACAAACAAACTCAAGAACAAAAATGCTACAAAACCAACTGAAAGAGCCTTTTTAGGTTAACAAAACTGGCAAGAGCTGTTGCAAAATCATCATTGTTTTGCCGTGTTGAAAAAGGTGAGGGGAATTTCACCATCTCTTTTTAACAATCAAAGAATCTGGCTTCTAAAAATAAATAAGGAGTAAAGAATAAAAGAAAAAAAAAAAAAAAAAAAAAAAAAGACTTCAGAAACAGAGGCAGTTCTGTCGAGCCGTTTCAAGGTGTGGAATCTGGATTTATTCACTCTATTTATTTATTAATTGTATAGAAACCCCTTGTTTCACAAGTCAAGCAATTGTGGCATTTGTTTTGTGGAGTTTCATGCAAAGAGAGTGAATTTGGAATTGAGTTGTGTTCCTTTCTAAAGACAAAAGATGAAAAACATTGAACAAAATAAAATATTCAAAAGGATCCTATTATTTATGAACATAAATATATGTATATATAGCAATGTCTTATAGAACATAGAAGACTTTGTTAGGAATTTTTCAAGAAGAAAATAGGTAAACAATTTGGAACAAGAGACTCCCCTTCGCAAAAGAAAGGGATAATTTTTGGATGGCAAAAGAGATGCTAAGTTCCAAAGAGCAAATGGTAATTAAATGAAATATTATTATACCACAAAGTGATGTAATAATACAAGATATGGCAACGGTTAAGAAAGTATTAACAATTACTCTGTAGTATCCTTATCTCTGTCCTCCATGTTATTAAGAGGTAAGGCAACTTTTGTAACTTTCATTTAATCAGAGCATTTGGTATACTTCAATTTTTGTGTCAAAAAAAGGAGGAGAATATATTCACATATATTTGAACGTATGCATATGTTTTCTTTACCACAGAATATTGCTAATCGGTTGCATTTTCGTGGAACAAATAAAAAAAAAGTTGTGCATTTGTAAATCTTCCAATGAGGGGTACTCTATTCATTTCCAAAACAGATTTCTTTTGCAGCTTAAATTACATTATTATGCACAAAGTGACTGCACTAGACTGTCTTAAATAACAATGTCAATACAAGGTAAATAATGGATAATTACAGGCAAATAAATAAAATGATTAGTTGTCATGAGTGATCATTGATCACGAACTGAATGAAAAACTGATACACAACATTTAGAAGTGACCCAATTTTTATTTCAAACATAATAAAGAACAAAAACCATATGACTTGGCCTCAGCCCCCAGTCAAAATAAACATAAAAATAAAGTATCTGAGAAGATTTTAGGGTTTGGGACTGTGGATTATGCAGGAGGAGGAGGAGGAGGAGGAGGCTGGACTTAGTCCAAACTTAGGGAGGCAAGTGGGACAGCCAGTCTATATTGGCACCTGGTCCCACAAATATATGTGTATTGTGTAGCAACAATTTGTCCTTTCACATCATTCCATCTCCTTCAGGGTAGCCGAATACTTCATAGACTGATCTTCTCCACCCAGTTCCACACAATAATATCAGTAGGGCCAGTCTTGGGTCCTATATTTATACACACTCCATTGCTTTATATATATTATTAATACATAATGCCAGTAGATCTTGGCAGGGTTCAGCATGTCGACAATTACCCCCACCCCCATCCCCCTTAGAAGTTATTCCACCTGGGCAGCTCTGCACATATCTACTGAGAATTGGTCCATCAGGCTTCTCAAAGCTAGGAATCAAAGTATAGGAATCAAATATTGGGAGATGAGGCTTCTGCGAAACTTCACACCTCACTCCCTTGTGCTTACTACCAACAAAAAACCCACGACAAAAAGTGCATCCCAATTTGAGAAACTAATAATAATAATAATAAAATGATGAAAAATAATAAAGCTGTCATGGCGGAGGCCATTACCCACTAACATGCTGGGCATGCAGCAACTGCGGCACTCCTTCCAGATCCCTACCCAGGTGGATCTGAAAACTATACTTTCATCCATATCCACTTATGTCATCCATATAGTGGACAGAAAGTTGGTTCCGTGTAGCGGGCGTTGATTGCGGTGATAGGCGTTTTTTAAAGTTTGCCCCTATGGGTGTAAAGCTTGCTGTGTCCGCCACTTGGCATTCGGATCCGCGGTCGCGGGCTTGGAATGTTGCTTCGTCGAGGGGAAGGGTCTTGTCACCGCTTCGTAATTTGTCAGACTGGGTGTGTCACGTAAGGGACACTTATCACTGCGGACTGAGACCGGTGACCGAACATAGTGATGGCCTTTGGTAACAGGGCCAACATCAAAAAATAAAAAGAAAGAAAGATTTTTATTTTTATTTTTATTTTTCCTTTTTCAAGACATACCACAAATAACATTGCTTTTAAAGATGTGAATTGTTTACTGCACCGTTGCATTAAGAAGCAATGGGAGTATAGAAAGGATGCAAAGGGAAAGAGGGGCATCTGCATTGAGGCTGAATAAACTTGGTTCACATCACTAAATAAGCCCTAATGAATGAGACGATGTCATCGCCAACTGTGCTTCAGCTTAGCTATGGTGAATCTTCTAGTGCAGTCTGGCCCCGGCACGAAACGATTCTCGGTCCCAGCGCTGTGTGTGTGTGCGTGTGTGTGGGTTTGTTTGTTTCCAGCTAATCACTGTGGAATGGTCGAATTCAGACCTGGATGGAGTGTTATTGTTAATATTACCATGTGGGGGATTCGAAATCTGTCGTGAGAGTGAGAGGTTGCAGCAATGGTAGCCTGCTTGCAACACAACACGCGACCGAGAGAGAGAGAGAGAGAGAGAGAGAGAGTGACAGTGGCGTCGTTACCGATGTACGAGCTTGCGCACGGGATGTCCAGGGTCGCGACTCGATTTGAGCTTGACGTAGTCTGCAATGGCGATTCCGGGAAGGAAGGAAGGAAGGGAGTGAGTGCTGGCTGACATCATCCTAAACTACAGCAGCTTCCTCAGTCTTTCTACCTACTCCGGGAAGATTTATTTTTTCCCTTCTTCTTTCGAGGATTTAATAATATAAATTTGTTATTATCGTTGACTAGGTTGACCTTCGCGGTCGTTCGGTGGTTACCCAGGGAGCGGATCTTGCTGGGTGGCCGGTGCGTCTCGTCGCACCCAACCCAGTCGTCGCTGATTGTGATACTTGCGCAGGAAGGTAATAATCCAGTCGCGTTCTAGTTGGTTACAGCGAAGAGCTGATGGGTGCGGTCTGAAACCACCTGCCGCCGCAATTTGGCTTGGTGTGCAGCGTGTTAGCGGTGGTGAATGACGTCCCCTTCATGTTCAGTGTTCGTGGGCGTTGTTGTCCTGGTTGGCTAAAATCGAGGTCGTGTTCTGATATTGAGCCTTACGATGATGACTTCGAATAGTTGAGCGGACGACAATGCTAGGTAGGTAGAGAGGAGCTCAGCTGCTCAGGCTCAATTCGTTGTGGGACCTTGTGTGGGTGTGTGTGTGTGTGTGGGCCAGTAGGAGATTGGTAGTTTTATCATCGCTATGAGTGGGTCTCTGCTACAGAAATTGGTCGGCTAAGCATTTGGGGACTGCTCATTTACTGGGAAATAATCGACGTTCGCTCTTTTTTGTACTAGATGTGGGTTGAGTGAGGTAAGGGAGGATTGGCGCTGTGGAGGTTTCTTCTGCCGCCCTGCTGTTTGTCGATCTCCTTCTGCAACTACAGATTGGCTCGGAGGTCGAATCTATGTCTTCTGCGAATAGTCGAGTGACTCTATAAGCCTAGCTTCGGGAACTGCTGAGCCACTTGCGGGTGAAGCTAATGCAGGCCAGCTTGAGATTGGATTCGGGCCAACCTCGTACCAGCTCGTATGTTAGAAGCTCTTGGGGATGGTTGCATTGTGGATGCTGCAGAGGATTCCTATTGAGGAGTTGATTTATGCAGTTGATGCTAAACATTAGGCTCGTGTATTGATTCTGATTGTGCTCGGGTAAATCAAAGTTTCAGCTCTGGGGTGGACAAATTTGTTTAGGTGCGATTCTGGAGGATCGGCGTTGGGTTCCCAAGCTGAGTGGGTCGATGCTGCGCTAGAAGAATGCAATGCAGGGGGGATTCAGTGGTTGGGCGTGTAGGATCTAGTTGCACCAAGTCGAGAATGGAGATGGATTGCCTCGTAGAATACGTGCCTTGTGAAGCACGTGAGCATAGTGGTTTGCGGCAAAATGGTCGATTCTCTAGATTCTTGGTTCGTGGAATGGTCTCTGCCATTATGTGCATCTCTGTGATAACCTCTCTGGCTGAACCGGCCATGGCTGCCAATTACGCACCTGGTACGTTCTCTTGTTCAACCCTGCAATCTGTTTGCTGTTGGTTATATTGTACTCATTTTCAAAGCCTCTCCCTCCCTCCCCCCCCCCTCTCTCTCGCTCTCTCCACTTACTGTTTCCTAGTCACGACGTTCAGCGATGTAGTCACACTGTAGTGTTCACTTAATTGGAGGGAATGCATTGCTATGGATACATACTTCTTTAAGTCTTTGTGATTCGGGGCTTCGTTTGCTGTCTTAGAGGCGGATGTTTTTTTTACAATAAACATGCAACCTTCATCATAAAATTCGTTTCTGCAAAGACAGCGAGCTTTCAGTTTGGTATTATGTTGGTACACGAAAGCCACGCCTGGGTGCTGTCTTTGTCTCAGTTTCTAAGGGATTGTGAGAGCACTAATTTTGCTTTGAGCGTACTAGTTAGTCATCGTTTCATTAGATTTCTATCCGACGTTATACTAAACACAAGTTAGCTGTGAAACTAGCAAGTACGTAGTTGAGCAGCGTGCGTAGTTTACAGTTGGGATACAATTGTTAGAAGTCTCTGTTGACATTTGTCTTGTCTCCGACACGACATGCAGTAAGCATGAACTGTAGAGTGGCCCCATGGCAATCAGTGCTCCGCAGCATGTCATTATTCCATTGATTCGATTACAAGGGTCGTATTCGCGCAGGAACTGTTACTTGACTGAAATTGGCGAATGGAGGGGTTCCCTTTCAAGTGGTAGCCTCATAGTATAAGCTGCAGTACCCATGTGCTTAACCCAAATCCGAGGTCGTATATTAGAGAAGTTCTCATACAGAAGAGTAATCGTCTGTTAAATTTTACTCATGAATCTGAGTCTTGTTCCTCCTGCTGTGAATCAAAAGTAGAGTTTGAGATTCAGTGGGTAGTCGACGTACTGATAAGAATGTATGCATTCTTAATTTCGATCACAAGTTTAATGTTCTCACGAAAAACCGTCAAAGCTTGTAACTTTGAAGGAAATTTGTGTCGACATTGTCTGTGATTTGTCAAGGTTTACTCTCATTCTTTAATCACTACTATGACAGTATTAATATCACTAGGATTAGAATGCTGGTTTTTTTCTCGTATCATAGAATTTTCCTTTTGCTAGGCTTAAATTGCAGCAGTGGCAACTTCTTTAATTTCTTTTCACGCTCTAAACCTGGCGGCGAGTCCTTAACTAGACAATCGCAAGCAGTTTCTGTACGAAACCTTGAGTATTATCCACTACCTTAAACTTAAAAACAAAATGAACATTTTCTTTCTTTTGGAAGCGTCTGTTTTTAGCGATAAATACACGCTGCCGTTGTTCCTGCACCGTTTCTGAACTAACTTCTACGCGATGTCTTGATTTCGCAGAGGCACGCACTATGGGAATAAATTATGGGCGACTTGCGGACAATATTCCTAGTGGCGCCGAAACTGTGAAGTTGATTAAGAACTTAGGAATGGGAAGGGTGAGAATTTTTGATTTCGATGGGCCAACAATCAAAGCATTTGCTGGCTCCGGGCTCGAACTAACAATTGGAATGGGAAACTTGGACATCGCCGCCCTTGGCCAGGATGCAAGCACAGCCGACCAATGGATCGCCAATAACGTCGTCCCATATTACCCCGCCACCAACATCACGTGCATCACAGTTGGAAACGAGCTCTTCACGTATCCAGAACAAGCAGCAATCTGGCCGCAGCTCGTGCCGGCCATCAAAAACCTCCACAATAGCCTCCAGACCCGCGGGCTCACACGGATCAAGGTCTCCACGGCTGTGGAATACAGCGTCCTGGCGAACTCCTTTCCTCCATCAAAGGGCGTCTTTCGGGAAGAACTCGCAGTGTCAGTCATGAAGCCCTTGATGGAGCAGCTGGACGCTACCAGCAGCTATCTCTACCTCAACGTCTACCCATACTTCGGATATGCCAGCAACACGGTTGATATCCCGCTCGACTACGCCTTATTTACCCGCAGCTCGGTCTTCACCGTGGACGGCCAATACGAGTACACGAACCTTTTGGACGCGCAGCTAGACGCCATGGCCGCAGCGATGGAGGGCGTGGGCTACGGGGACGTACGCATTGTGGTGAGCGAGACTGGGTGGCCGACCTTGGGCGATGCTAACACGGTCGGCGCCAATATCTCGAATGCGCAGACGTATAACAACAATCTGGTGAAGTGGGCGATTAGCAATCCCACTAAGGGAACTCCCCGCAGACCAGGGATATTCGTCCCGACTTACATCTTCGCCGTTTACAATGAGAAGGACAAGCCCGGGCCGACCACAGAACGCAACTGGGGGTTGTTGTATCCCACTGGCAGTCCCGTGTACCCGCTGGTGCTTAGCAGCAGCGGTGGCGGTGGCGGGGGTGGGTCGTCTCCTGGAGGAGGCTATGACTCGCAGCCTAAGCTTTGTAACGGCAAACCGAGTGTGCTCTCCACGTCGGCTTCCTTCTTTGGGATTCTTTTTAATCTCAGAATCTAACACAAGCTAATAGTCTCTATACTTAGGATAGCATAGCTCCATTTCTTGTTGAATCAATAAAGGAATTACTCGTGCATGCATCAAGTTCACATGATTCTCTCGCCCCTTGTAATGCTGCTGCTCTTCCTTGGATTGTGACGCTCCGTGTCGCACTGATTTCTGCGTGGAGAAATTTTCATTCGAGTGTGGAGCATCTGGCATATTTCGTGATTTCAATGTTGAAACTAGGTTTTGAATGCAAATCCAACACGGCCACCGAAGATACCGAAAACAGAGTTACGCTTTGAATGTTTAAGCCACATTGGAAAAAAGGTTTCTTCTCCACCACTTTGCGGGAGATTCATACAAGTTCGTGTATAATTTAGTTCTACATATTCCATCAACAGATTTAGCTTGGAAGGAGCCCAGGCCTTGAACAGAGTGCAGCACCTTGAAGTTGTGGAAAATTCTCGGCTGGTTGAAACTGGTAGTTATGGCAAGGTTCAACTTCTGTTGACCTTCATGACTCCGTTATGATGCCCTCAGCGTACGTTCCAGGCTTCCTATCAAAGTCGAATGCACACACATCAAGGCGTACTGTGCACATTACTGATGCACATTAAATGCACCGGTTGAAGCAAGGTGCAGAGGGTTGGATTCCAACTTTAGGGTCATAGCTTTTCTTTTGAGTGCCATCTCGCGAGGTAATGACACTTTACATTCTGCTGTTGAATCCTTGCCTTTGAGAGTGTTGAAGCATTCAAACACAACACATTGTACTTAATTTCTGCTAGTCTTCATTTGGAAGAGTGAATGTGGTGGTGGTGGTTTCTTCCTTAACCTCGTCCGAAGCAGTGGGACGTTCTTTCTTGAATTCGCCTGCACCACCCATGCACCTGTGAGCAAACTAACCCACAGTGCACAACAAACTCTTTCTATGTTGCAGAGGGATTTTTTCGTATGCTTTAGGGAAAATATTGCTGCAAGTCGATAGCTCTTCCATCAACCTCTTTCATCTTACGCATTTCATTGGTAGGACGTAGGTGAGGGCAGTCAAAACAAGAATATGCGGGTTCGTGTATTTAGCGAACGCTCTTCTTTTCCAAAGGCTCAGGTATGATTCCTTCTGTGCCTTGCAGTCGGATACGTTCATGTGCATTACCAAGAAGGTGATCTCATACTAGCACGAAATGTTCAGAGAATGTGCAAAATGTCAATTCTCAATTGACAAGCATGTAACGGCCGCCTGCACTATGAGGATGTTAGATTATAATGTATCAACGTTCAAAGCTGCTTGAGGTTTACTTGAATCTCAAGCTGAAGCGGAACATTTATTTGACAGTCTTAAGTGAATGTCGTGATTAGAGTATTGCGCAGAGAATTGTACAGATATTGCGGCACATCCCTGTCAAGAGCCTTTAATACCGTCACTTGCAGGAAGGCATGAAGTTGGAAAGTTGAAATCGCACATCCCAAAAGTTAGCAAAGCCTATTCCAACTTCACTTTTGTTTAAGATGAAAGAAACAACTGGTTCGTCCTGCAGCTATAAGCTTGAAAACAAAACACATCTGTCGGGTTCTTCTCAAACAGAAACTGAAAGATAAATCAGGTATTCTAGATACTTCTGCGATGTGGCTCAATTTACCCGAGTACCAAAAAGTTCAAAAAACTTTGATTCAGACCACGAAAACACCATACACTTTTCGATTTGATCACTTGTCACCAGAAAGCTCGAATCCTATCGAGTGCAGTGCCACCTTAGAGAAGATGTTACCTGAAATTTCACATACTGATAGTAAGAAGCGCATACAAAATAGTTTAATATGGTATTACAAAATTAAGAAAACTGTTTGCTCTGTGCAAGCGGCTTCTGATGAATGGCTCTTCAACTTCTAGAAACAACAAACATTGAAACTCACCTCTCTTACTTACTTCGAAAGGATTTCACTGTAATTGGCTTCATACAAATTCAAAGTGAAAGGGATAATGCACACGTCTTGCATGATCCATGAAATAAATATTATAATTGGTATCCGGCATCGCTGATGTGCTCGATCAAATCAATTGACAGCAATTTCATGCTCTTCACTTGGCTATGTACCATAGAAGTTAGTCACAATCGCCACCACTTAATGCTCAGACAGCATTAAGTTCAACTACTTTGACATGACCAATGTAGAAGCATCAAGGTTTCATTTACTGCTTGAAAAGCACGTCCAATTCTCGCACGTTTGTATACAAGACGCACAACTTAGATAACGCATCGTGCTCTTGGTAGTAGAAACAAGCCTATTTTTTTCTGTGCCAACTTACACATACCATCATTCTTGTTGGTGGTAGTTGCGACCGCAATTCCTTCAACATATGTCTCCTTTGTTTTGTTTTGTTCTGATTGTTTCTTTTCTTGATGTGGCTAACATCAGCTTCTTCATCGTAATTAGCTTTCTTTTCCTTCTTGTTTACAGATTCTCTTCTTTTAACTTGTTTGGTGAAGCATGTTCTCGCCTCTCGCCAATTAGATATCGTAACGACTTTTGTCTGTTCATTGTTTGAAGAAATTGACAGATTTAAACAAGCCTGTACTGATCCAGTTTAAGACACAATGGTGAGTAGAGGATCAGCATATAAAAATTGGATCTAAGTGAAACATTTAGTTATTGCATTGTTAGGATTCTAATGTGATGAATCTTTGAGTTCATTTGAAGAAAGGACAGAGGAAGATTATGCTGCTGAGAGAAAAAGGAAAAGAAAACTCAAATACTACAACCTAGATCACACAATGCTTTAATGTGTGTGAGAGAGAGAGATTTTAATTCATCATGTAGAAAAATAGAGAGTACAACTTTTTGAACAAGGTTAAGTCCATTTAAAATGATGCCTTGTAACAACTTTGGGCATTCAATAAAAATGGTGTGATCATTATCCGTTCAACTAATATAATTTGGTTTAGTAAGGACTTGAGTGTTTTATCTTGGTATGTAATATTTTCAACACCCTCTCATAGACCAATGTTGTATTGTATTTGCACATAATATATAAAAATTAGATGAGAACTATGAAATACATTGATTATTAGTTTGTATCTTTTTTATTAAATAAAATATTTTAAAAAATAATTAGATATTAAAAATAATGAATTAATTAGATTATTGATTAAAATAAATATCAATGATAGTATATTTAGAATATAAAAAAATATAGGTATATAAATCCTATTAGTAAAAAATACCATTATTGTTAGAAAAACTAAGTTTGTAACTAATTGAGATTTAAAAAAAAAATAAAATCAGATAACAACCTTATAGGAAAAAAAATTGAAGCTTTGGATATCAAGTGGCAGCTTGGGGCTTGTAGAAAAGAATGGATAATGAATTACTTAATTAGTACTTAAGAGGCCATGGATTTAAAATTCCATGGTGGTACATAAAAAAAAAATTAAATTTTTTTAAATTTATTTATTGAAGATATTTAAAGGATTGGTGTAACAGGGTATCGATAAAAAGGATTTAGGATAATTATATAGGTGGAGCCTATCATGAAGAACATTCTAAAAAGTTCTAGGATGGTTGGACAAACTATAAATAAAACTGAGTAAATTTGTTTCATTGGTATCAGATGCAGTATTAGTTTATTCTTTGGTATTGTATTCATAGCCACTGTTTAGTTGGAGGTCAGTTATTGTAGTCACATTACATATTGTTTTGGGGCTACAATGAGCTACTTTTAAGAAGTCAATTGAAAGAAAAGAAGGCATTACAATAGTAGAGTCCAATAAGAAAATTGTAGCATGGGAGATATGACAAAGCAATTTTAGATGGAAACTCAAATCTAATAACTCATAGGCCAGATAGCTACTCCACAAGGGCAAATAAAAGCTTCTAAGATAAGAGAGTCAATATTTTCTTGGCTAAAATTAAATAAGTTTGATACATACTTTGAGACTTTAAGGCAAGAAGATGTATACCAATGGCTCTTCAGTATGCAATAATACCTCCAATTATTTGAGGCAAATACTACCAAAGGAATTATATATATATATATATATAGCTAGTTATTTGAGAGGTACAACAATTATTTGGTGGCAACATCAAACTCAAAGCTATAGAGTACAAGGTAGATTTTGTAACTAAAAGAAGTTTGAGACCGAATTTAGGAGTCAATTTTGGCTCATCAATTCAGAAAAGATCACATACAATCAATTGGCTAATCTTATATAATTTATGTGAGTGCAAAATTATGTCTCTCGATTCAAGTTCTTATATCTCCAAATTAACAATGTTTTAGAAGTAGAGATGATGGATCAGTTCATACAAGGTTTGAAACATGAGGTCTAGTGAGAGGTAGAATTAAGGGATTTATGAACATTTGAAGAAGCAATTAAGATTGCACAGAGAATTGATTCTATAAATTCCTAAAATTATAGAAGACAACCTATAGAACAAAGTCTTATGCTACTATTCATTACTATGGTACAACAATCAATGCCAAAAGAGATTGATGCCTTGGAAGGATTAGTGACACCATAGAGACAAAAAATATTAGCACAAAAAGAATTATGTTTTTACTGCGAGGAGGTAGGCCCATAAATTGAAGTTTGTCCAAAATCTCAAAATTTAGGTACTAACAACTCAAGGCAAGTTTACAATCTCAAGATTCACCAAGTTGATAATAAAATAGAGGAAGAAAATAGAGCTTTTCAATAAATGTACTGAGGCCTAGTATTGAGAATAGCTTAGAAACAAATGACATGGTCTTAGACAACTATCAATAAGATTGATTGATGTGTCTAATAAGTTGACTATGAAGACAACCATATCAAGTGCTTGTGGATTGCGACTCCATAAAAAAATGCATCTTGACTAGGATTGTTGATCGACTTGAGACTAAAACCAAGGTAATGAAAAGAAAGAATATATATCTAGCAGATGACTAAGAAAACATATTGAATGACACATGTGAAGAAAAAACCTTAAGGTTGAGTGACACTTATGTTTTAAGAGAGCAATTCATGATAACAAAACTTAAATATGACATTATTCTTGGGATACCTTTAGCTAGAAGTAAAAAATAAGTAAGTTAATTTACTAGCAAGGATGATTTCTTTCAAAGATGGT